AGTAAGGCCTCAGCTTTCTGGCTGTTATAACTAGTGTTAGGGCGGCTTTCTCGACTTCCGGATATCTCGTCTCCGCTCCTTGAAGTGCTCGACTTGTGTAATAAATCGGCTGTTGGGAACTTCCGTCTTCCCGCAGCAACACCGAACTCAAAGCGAACTCTCCCACTGAGATATATAGAATCAACTCGTCACCTGGTTCTGGTTTGGTCAGCAAGGGCAGTTCGCCCAAGAACTCTTTCAATTTCTCAAAGGCCATCTGTGCCTCGTCACTCCATTGGAAAACCGTCTTCTTCTTGAGTAATTTGAAAAAGGGGAAACTTCTCTCGGCTGCCCGAGCAATGAATCTGCACAAACCTGCGATCCTCCCTGTCAGCACCTGGACTTCTTTGATGCTTCGTGGTGGAGCCATGTCGAGTATGGCCTTTACCTTGTCTTGATTCACCTCGATTCTTTGTTCTGTGACAACATATCCCAAAAATCGTCCCGCTTTCACTCCAAACGCACATTTGCTCGGGTTCAAGTTCATCCCAAACGTCCTAAGGGTGATGAAAGTTTCCCTTAAGTCGTCTGGGTGTGAAGTCGAGGACTTGCTCTTCACCAAGATATCGTCAACGTACACCTCCATATTCCGACCGATCTGGGGTTTGAACATTCGATCCATCAATCGCTGGTAGGTTGCTCTTGCATTTTTTAGGCCAAAGAGCATGACGACATAGCAGTATGTCCCCTTGCCCGTCACAAAACTTACTTTACTTTGAATCTTCCTGGGTCAAGGGGATTTGGTGATATCCCTGAGATGCGTCCATCATGCTCAACAACTCGCAGCCAGCCGTGGAGTCAACTAGCTGGCCAATTCCCAGCAAGGGATAATGATCTTTAGGACATGCCAGGTTTAAGTTGCAGAAGTCGATGCACATACGCCATTTGTTTAATGCCTTTCTCACCATCACTGTGTTGGATATCCATTCGGGGAATTGGATTTCCTTGATATGTTTGGCCTTCAGTAATTTGTCCACCTCGACTTCGATGGCTTTGTCGATTTCAGCGCCATGGTGCCTGAGTCGCTGCTTCACGGGTTTTCTGAGGGGGTCGACATTGAGTTTATGCTCCATAACCTTCGGGTCGATTCACGTTAACTCTTCCGGAGAGAAAGCGAATATGTCCCTGAATTCTTTTAGCAACCCAACCAACTGCTCTCGCAACTCGTCCTCTAATTCTCTCCCGAATTTTGTGGTTTGGTCTTTTGACTCTCCAATTTGAATCTCCATTAATTCTCCGTGGGGATCGAGGTCACTCCCTCTCGGCCTTTTTTCGCTCGTCATTGGTTTCTTGCCTTCCTTGATCTCAGCACGTTGATTGGTTTTGACCGTGATCTGGTAACAGGTTCTCGACAGCTTCTGATCCCCTTGAGCCTCTCCCACTCGATCTCCCACAGGGAACTTCAATTTCATATGATAGGTTGACACGACTGCTTGGAAAGTGTTGAGCGCCGGTCTCCCTAGGATCACGTTGTAAGCCGACTCGACATCCACCACTACGAATCTTACCATCTTCACTTTCCTCAAGTCACCTTCCCCGAGGACGACAGCTAGCATAGTTTCTCCCAGGGGAGCGACTTCCGAGCCATTGAATCCAAAAAGTGATGTATGTAGGGGCGTGAGTTCATTGTCGAGCTCCATCCTTTTGAGGCACTCATAAAAAATCACGTTCACAGAACTCCCAGTGTCGACAAACACACTTTGCACCTCATATCTCGGCATCTGCGCAGTTATCATCAAGGCATCATTATGTGGCCTTTCGACTTCACCAACGTCCGCAGGTCCGAAGTTCATCACTGGTCCACTCTCATCGATCTGCTGTACCTCGACTTTTGCATATCGACCTCGAGCATACGCCTTCCTTGCTCGATTGGAATCTCCGTCAGTCGATCCTCCAAAAATCATGTTAATCACCCCTCTTTTTGGTGGGAGCTCCTCCTTCTCTGGCGATCTCGCCCTCTTGCGAGGGCTCCTATTCCTCTCCCGTCTCCTGCTCGTCCTCTCGCGATCCTTGTATATGAACTCCTTCAAGTGGCCCGCCTTAATCAACCTCTCAATCTCGTCTTTCAAGTGTCGGCAGTCATCAGTGTTGTGCCCGTAGTCTTTGTGGAATCGACAATATAAGTTGCTTTTGGGTTTCATGGGTCCGTCCTTCCTCGTCCGCGGCCATCTCACCACATCGTCGCGGATCTCCCTTTCCATTACTTTTAGAATTCTCGCATGAGGAGCCGACAGTGGTATGTATTGAGTCGGTCTCCATCCCCTAGACCGACCATCACCCCTATCAGCTCTCGGTGATCCCTTTCTATCTCCTGTAGGTTGGCCCCTTTTCTCCTTCTTGTCGTCTCGACTTTCAGCTTGGGACATTTTCACACTTTGCAAATAATCGGCTTCGGCCTCCTCGACATTCATGTATTTGGCACATCTTCCCAACACGTCATCGAAACTCCTACCAGGTCGCTTGGCCAAAGAGTTTTTACATAACCCTGGTAGTAATCCTCTCGTCAGTCCTGCTGATTTGATTTCCTTTGTCGCTGTTGGGCATTCGACACACGCCTTTGTAAACCTCGCCACATACTCTCGTAGTGACTCACCTTTCTTTTGCTGCATACTTATCAGCGAGAGATAGGATTTCTCTAGCACCCTCACACTTGCAAATTGGTTAAGAAAACTCGAACTAAATCAGTCAAAGTCCCTAATCGACCCCGCTGGAAGTTGATGAAACCAGTCTTGGGCTGACCCTGTCAAAGTCGTCAAAAAGGCGCGACACTGCACTGGGTCGCTGTAGCGGTGGAGCACCGTCATGTTCTCAAAACTTCTCAGATGTCGAGACGGGTCTGTGGTACCGTCATACCATATGTTCAACTCCCTAAAGCCTTTGGGTTAGTCGGCTCTCAGGATCTGCAGCGAGAATGGGTGCTCTTTTGCTCCTCTGCTCTTTTTTCCACTGAATCGAGCCTGTAAGTCGCGAACCTGGGCTAGCAGTTGTTCCAGCGTCTCGTCCCTCGCTTGTGGGTTGACAGTTCGAATGGAGGATTCTTCCTCGTCCACCCTCCTATTCTGTTGTACGTTCGACTGGGCCTGTTGCTCGACACGAGGTGGCTGCTCGATTCGAAGCGGATACTCGACACGGGGTTGCTGCGCGACTCGGGGTGGGTACTCGACTCGAGGTTGCTGCTCGACCTGCGCCATTTGCTTCATCTGGGCAGCTACAGCTTCAGCGATCATCTTCTGCATTTCGCTTCTCGTCATCGTTAAGGTCTGCTCCTCGACACGGGGTTGGGTTTGCTCCGGTACCTCCTGTACTTGTTTTCTCTCACGTCGAGACATCTCCGTTAGTTTCTTCTCTCCATCTGGATTAGGTTTTTGACTTGTCCCTGCCTGGGTCAACACTTGCAGCTTCACGCCGGTTGGAGTGACAGGTGTTTCCCCGCCCAACGTCAGTCCCGGTGGCGGAGGTCCTCCAAATGGTGGCATCCCCATCATCTGCATCACGGGGTGTTTGGTGGTGGAAAGTGGTGGTAGCCTCTTGTCCATCCACGTCCCTCTAAACTCCTCACTCAAGTTCCTCTGCAAGCCCTCCTTCTCCGCCATCAGCAAACAGATCGGAACTGGGTGCGAAGCTCTTCCTTCCTTCAGGAACTCCCCACAGACGGCGCCAAATGATGAGTCTAGTTCCAGATCTGGAGTAAACCGGTTGTTGTAAGCTCAGATCTGCTTGAACCGCTTCCCAATCGTTACTAGACCGCGAGATTCCTGCAAAAAACTCAACGTCGGAGGTGTTTCCGGCGTAGAGCCTCCGACGCTCAAGTCAATATCAGAAAGATGAGAAGAGACTGCGCAACAGCTATGGGGGAGTAGTGAATGAATGAGAGTTAGGGTTTAGGGTTACCTCACCTCCTTTATATAGGAGTGAATATTTACCTGAAGTACCCAGAATGCCCAAGTCGGTGGACCTAGAAGGTCCAAAATGCCCTGGTCGATTCATCTCCCCTTGTTGCTGAGTCATCAACAGATTCCTTCTTATCCTTTGTAACGTATAGAACTTCAAGTATGTTGTAAGTGTGATGAGTCGTCATCACATCTTTGTTATTCAAGGTATGCGAGGTCGACTTCGAGAGCTAGGAGGTCGACTCGTGGATATGTGCGGATTCGGAGGCTACGCTTGACTAATTCTTTGAGGCGAAGTCGTCTTCAGAGAGTCGTCTTAGTTCAGCCGACTGCTGAGAGTCGACTTAGGATATCGGGATGTTCGGGCGTTACTCTTGCTGCCCTTCTTTCATTGATGTCGACTAGTAAAAGTCGATAGACTGAGGTCGACTAGGGAGAGTCGACTAGGCCAATTTCTGCCTCTTTCCGATTGCTCTCAGTAGAATCGTCTTTAAGAAAGTCGATGTGAGGATGTCGACAAAGTCCTGTCGACATGCGAGTTGTTCGAGTGGTTCACCTGTCGAGTAGGGAGCTTCTAGACCGGGTTATCCTTATGTGGCTATATCACTGGTCTAGGGTTTAACTACTTTTGATTTTCTTTTTTCTTAAAATTTTTGTTTTGTTTTGTTTTCCCTTTGTTTGATCCACAATGCACAGGAACTCGCCACTGGCGAGTGTATTCTCCCTTTAGGCTACATTTGAATCAAGTAAACAAATAAAAAAGAATTGTTATCAAATTTGTCATTATTATCTTAATAAGCTATATATAAACTTGATGTAAACATGGGAGAAATAATATGTTTGAACATTCTGTTCATTTTCCATCCAGGCTTCATAATTCTTGTTATTGTGGCTAGTTTGTGGATATTCTGTCGTCACCGGAAGACATCCAGACAGCCACGAACAATTACGACTGCAACAATAGGCTCTATAGGGAAGTCGGTGCAAGTGTCACTTACAAAGGAACATAAAAAAACAGTCTAGAAAGAATAGAGATGCAAAACTCACCGGGTTCGGTGGGCTGTTTGAGCCATGAGATACAGACAGAACAGAGTGACGTCTATCGTTTGCAGTGGTGCTAGAGGAGCTATTGACGAGGGAGGACTTGGTAAGGATCTTGGACAGTTGTTTGGAGGCGTGTGGTGCGGTTGAGGTGCTGATGCAAGTTGAAAACTTTCCAAGAAGTGCTTAGCGTGCTTGTCAATATAAACCAAGTGTGAAGGAACTCGCATTTGAGTTGGACTGCTTGAGTAGGGATTTTGGATCGGGAGGTACATGTTGGAGTTTCAATCTTCAGGGGGCCGACTATGCTTAAGGCAGTGAAACGATATAGGAGTTTTAATGGGGTTTGTTTATTGGTATGTAATATATTTGTGTTTTGAACATTTGAGAGTTAGATTGATGTTTATTAATGGTTAGATTATGATTATTAATTGTTCTTTTTTCTTTTGTCTTATTTATAGTTTATATTTAGTTTTATTTTGGTTTTTTTGTAATTTGGTTTTCATGATTTTGTACAAAAATAGATAATAAACTTAAGATAAACCATTATATTTAGTTTTATCTTGTATATGTTTTTTTTTTTTGTCAAATTATTTTTTGTGNTTATTTGTATTTTGAAGATGTTTATTGATGGTTTGGTTTTTTTATTTCTTTGTAGTTTATATTAAGTCTTATTTTTCATATGATTTGTTTGTCAATTTGTTTTTAGTGATATAGTTAAAAAAGTAGATAAACCTAAGATAAACTTAAGATATAGTAATAATAAACTTAAGATAAACTAAAGATAAACTTAAGATATAGTAAAAAAAAATAAATAATAAGCCCTCCTCAACACAAGCCAATACAAACACACACAGACAAATACAAAAACAAGAACACCAACAAACGATGCAAATAAGTCCTCCTCAACAGCCGGTAAAAGGATCCAAAACACCCCCGAGCCAGACACCCGACAACGAACCCAAGAAAGTACGACCACACCTAAGAAGCAGACGACGAAACTCCCTTCTCCGAGACGGAGCTGGCTGACGACATCCACAATATCCGGGTTCAGTCCCTCTCCTAAATGGGTCCACATCGGAAAGCACACAGGGGCCCGCACCACCCATTCCACCAACACCCACGCTGTCAAAGCCGGAGAAGCTCCAAACAGCCAGACCCCTGCCAACGCCAAACTCCAGGGACACCAGGTGAGGAGCAGAAGGAAGAGAGGCGATGGCCCAAGCGCCAACCACCAACCTTAGCAGACATCGCCGACAACCTCCACCCCGCCGCCAAATCTCGAAGCATTCCGGCGACAGACATTCGCAATAGGAAGAATCTCTGGCGCCGGGAAAGAATCGAGATAAGACAGAGAGGGGAGAGATTGCCCTGTTGCCCTAGGCCCTCGAGGCGGATTGAAACCCCTGGCTGAAAAGGCCGGCGGAGATGAGGCGTGCGATGGGCTAGGTTTTTTGCTACAGTAAGGGATGCGATTTGGGGGAGAGCGACTTTTTTTCGATGGACAACAAGTTTACCTTCCATATTATTCTTGGCAAGTCTCGTTATCTTGGAATTGAAAGACATGTAAAATTTAGATCTGTCAAAAAACTTTGCGTCTCGTTAATTGGGAAAAAAAGTTTTGTAGAGTGACATGTATGCCCTTTAGCCATTTTTAATCACTTTATTTTTCCAAACGGCCACAAACCGAGCCCACTATAGTAAAATTTCTCTTGCGCCCCAAGTTCATTATTAATTCTAAATTCTCTCATGAAAATATAAATAAGAGGAAATTGCACCCCCTACATCAGCATCACTAATATATTATAAATTTACAACCATTAGTTAAATATTTATGTAATTACTAAACTAAGCATAAATTATTGCTAATATACCTAAAATTATAATTAGGGAGTTATATCAGATAATTAAGGAGATTTTACCTACAAAAGAAACCGCTGCACTCACGTTCCTCCTCTCACGTGATCCTCGGAAAACCAAATCTCCTTCAGAAAGAAAAAAACTCCTCCGTCAATGGCGAAAATAAAAATCGCACGCGATCCTCAGAAAAAAAAACGACGAACGAAGGGGACGAAACACCACAGATAAGGTCAAGTTCCCGGATTCAGAAAATCATTTCAAAATCAAAGCCCAAACTCATTCAGAAGAAGCTCGTTTTTGAGAAAAAAATGAACCCTAACCCCAATCGCAAATCCACCGGCAACGCAAGGATGAAGAAGCAAGTTCCATCCACTGATTCAGACGATTTCCAGTCCGACCACGGCCGTAAAACTCAAAAACACATTCGGGCGAACCCTAAATCCAAAACAGACAAGTCCACTGAGAAGGATAATTCTTCTGACACCGATTTCGAATATGAAATTCAACCCGACGAGTCGATAGCGAAGAATATTTGAGCGAAGAGGAATCCCCGGTGGAAATTTTCAACAAAAGAAACAAAAAAAGGCTTCAGAAAGAGAAAGCCGAAGTTAATTTGAAGAAGAAAAGGAGAAAACCGAACACCGGCCTGCAACATGTTCAGAAACAGATAGTGTATAAGGTAAATTTTTGTGTACATCCCAGTTTATAAAATTTTTGTTATTTTTTAAAAAAAGAAACATTATTATTTTGTTTATTGATTATGAATTGGTTCATTTTGTCAGTGAATTGGTGTATGTCCACGAATAATTTGTCTGTATGTTGATGATATTTGTATATATTTGACTTTTGTGTTATAATTTGTCAAGGTCCTCACACTGTTAGATGAAATGACTGTAGTGTGTACTTTTTCCACTCTGTAGTGTGCTGCTCATTTCATTGTTCCATTTATAATGTTTTATTTCCATCGCTGCTCACATGTAGTCTGTAGTGTGCTGCTCATTTTATATCTCAAGTATATGGAATGTTTTTGATAAGTATGTGGTATATGTATCTCAGACATATAACAAATATATACCCTGTCAAGTGTATATCTCTGACTAGTATATTAAACATACTGTAAAACTGATAAGTAGACTATGAATGTTGAGAATTCAAAACTGTGTTTTATCTGTGATTAGTATACCTGTGGTTAGTATATTAATTCAAAACGGAATATATATTTGGTATATGTCTGTATTTTATTTCTCATTTTTTAACTTCACCTTTGCTCCAAGAATGAATGTTGAGAATTTCACAGGACCTTGATAAAACTAATAAGCAGACTAGTGTTGGCTTATTATATGTCTAGTATATGCAATGTTTTTTGATAAGTATGTGGTAAATTAATTCAATTTCTTGGTTATATGATATACATATACGCAGAGAGGTTTCAGTTACGAGCCACACCCCATATTTGGGTATGCAGTGAATGGGTCTCAACCGTCGTTTGACGCCATAACTGCTGCTCTACCACTGACGCCACAACGAAAGAATGATATTCCAGCACCGGTCAATAATGTAAGTTCAATCACTTCAATTTGTATTATTTGTAATATCTACAATCATTTTTTTGTTTAATAATAAGTTAATGTTTTTAACACAATTTTTATCATTATATTTCAGACTGCCGAGAAAGATTGAGGCGGTAAAAGGAGAGAACCCACAGCTATTAAAGGCACAAGAGTGCCATTCTTTGGTTGTATACAGTGCAAAAGAAGACGAAGTGAGGCGAACCGAGAATCGTAAGAGAAAATTGGAGAGCGAAGTTTCGACCAAGAAACGAATAAGACTTCAGAAGTCTTGCCCATTCGACGTCAGTTTTGGGATAAATGTTTCTGGGGAAGTGGACATGAAAGACTTCAGAGACTGGATTGGAGAGGGTTTGCTCAAGTCGGCTCCTCGCAAAGTCGGGAACGGGTACTACTGATTTTTTACTAGATATATAATTATATATACATCAAATATACTAAACAGTAACGATAACTATTTATGTCATATACCGTAAATATATCGGAATATAACTTATACATTTTCATTTCGTTTTCCAGTTATAATTACTACAAGGTCAGGAGCAAAACTTTGCCAGCACCTTTTGATTTTAACGTTTATTCTACGACAGATAAGAATTGGTTTTACCACATACATTAGATTGGATGCTTTCTCGATAGCAGCGTAAGTAGCATTTTGTACAACACTTATTCATTTTTTACTTGTTATATATATTTTTTTTCTAATACAATTGAGCACGTTTGTTTGTTGTTTTATTATAATATAGATATTTTATTTAAGTTTATCCCTATTTTTTGTTGCTTGCGTGTGACATTTGTTTTATTTATTTTTCTTCAGCACATCGATGTCTTTTTCTACTACCTGAGGAAGATTGGATATTATGGTAAATTTGCCCCCGTCAGGTATACAACGACTGATGTGTTGTTTGACCAACACATTAAGTCGTTGTACGAATTGTTTGTTCTCAGTCTCGTAACAAGTCTTTGTGCAATGTCGACGATATGATCATCGACTACATACTGGGATATAAGATTATATGTGGTGTTTCTTGGTCCAAGGTTGATCATATCATGTTCCCCATGCATTTGGAAATAAACGGGGTGGGTCATTGGATTTTGAGATGATTATCTCTTGATGACATGAAACTTCATATTTACAATTCAATTCGCACTGAAGATTGCGATGAACTTGTTATGGAGAATAGGAAGGCTTATGTCGAGATTCTCCCAATTTTCCTTGGCTTGGTGAATTTTTCGAGGAATGGAGTGGCCTGCAACGGCAATATCAAAGTGGTTATGGATGACTATATCCCACAGCAGCACAACAGGTACCATATAGGGGATTTGAAAGTTGAAAATGCCATTAACATGCTTTATTATTATAATTAACATCTTATTGTTTATTTCTTTTATATTGTCGACAGTGATTGTGGGGTGTTCGTTGCATCGTATGCCGAACATTTCATTACGGGTCGTGAGATCACCAAGGAGAAGTTTGATGTCACTGAGTTTAGGGAGAGATACGCATATTTGCTCTATACTCATGGCCTAATGAAACAAACTAATGGATACGACAGTGATGATGAATCCTCTGGTAGTACCCCCGATGAAGTTAGGTTTAGTATGTTGAATGTGGGAAAAACATCGTGGACATTTTTTAAGTATTTATGATTGATTTTTTGATGGATGTGATTTAATTTGGGAAAACATTGAAC